CTTGCTATTCAGAAGTATCACAGAATTCAGGGATTTACCAAGGTTTTGCAGTAAGTATGTGGCTGCTGTAGCTTGGATTAGTCTGCAAAAAAAATAAAGGCAGCACCATTCATAGACAGCTCATTGTATCTTTAAATTCATTTACATTGATCAGATTGTGGAATCAGGCTGCCTAGACATTTCATTCTGACCAGCGGCAACTTTCTCTGAGACTCTGGGGGCAAGAAGTAGCCTCTTTGGGCTCCATGTCCTCGAAAATTCATTTTAGCTCTCTAATTTTGACCTCTGTATACCAGTAGAATGAGTTAAACCATCTCTTTTCTCTTCCCTGGCTTTATAGGCTCACTTCAGTAATAGAGGAAGAGGGAAAGAAAAGGTGATTTTTCCTTCAGTCTTCCTAGACACGCACTCTTGTGCAGTGGCATGAAGTTGTACAAAATTGTTAATGGGGACAATTAAATGAGGATGACTTGGGGCCCCTTCTAGACTGTGAACAATTCAAAAGAAAAAAATCGTGTCTGATTCCTCTATGTATGTTCCCCAGAGTCTTTCACATAGCAGATGATTGATAGATATTTGCTGAAGTGCTTTGTAACCATTTTATTGAGTCTAATCCTCACAACTAGTCATCCTTCTATACTAAGGCTTCTGAAGTGTTTGGAATAAAATGGAGTCATTTAAGACTTTGCCCAGGAGAGTGATACCCAAGAAAAAGAACTGTAGTAGAGAAAATTTGCATAAGAAATGATGAACAGACCTAGTAGGTCTAGGGGAAAGGTTGACTCTGTCTTAAAGCCATGAAAACGTAGAGGACCTTGTTGTCTTCTTGCAGCCCTGACCCTCAAAGGGAAGAATAGTGTAGCCATTCCCTTTGAATCCTAGTTGATGGTGATAAAGTGGGCAATTCAAAATTTTCATTTTGAGATTTAGAGGTAGGATTTTGGAGATAAGTCCAAACAATGGAATTCTTTGCCCACTATTTAAAGTTTTTTTAAGGCTTCTGTGCTGGCCACAGAACACTGACCATTTTGACTAAAAGTCAGAGATGTGTCTTTGAATTCATTCAAAGTCACTGGGCATGGTGGCTTAGCTTGTAATCACAGCACTTTGGGAGGCCAAGGCGAGAGGATTGCCTGAGCTCGGGGGCTTGAGGCCAGCCTGGGCAACTTGGCAAGACCTCATCTCTACAATAAATAAAAAGATAAGCTGGGCATTGTAGCGTGTGCCTGTAGTTCCCGCTACTTGGAAGGTTGAGGTGGAAGGATCACCAAAGCACAGCAGGTAGAGGTTGCGGTGACCATGAGTGTGTCACTGCACTCCAGCCTGGGCAACAGAGTGAGACTCCAACTCAAAAAAGAAAGAAAGAAAGAAAGAAATTCAAAGCCCTTCAGGGAAAATCCTAAACTCATAATGCACACAAATAAGAACAAAGTAAATGCTTAAGAGAAGTGATTCAGGGGGATTATAAAAAACAATTTATTGCTCGTTGCTATGGACTGTTTGTTACTCAGCAGCAACATCAAAACCTGAAAGATGCATGCCCAGAAAAAGAGAAGAAAATATCAATCCATTTAGACTAGTTGCATTAGTCAACTAAAAATTGCACATCATTCAGCTCATTAGCCTCAGTAGGGAAGAAACCTTGTAATTTGAACATCATTTTGGAGTGCAATTGAATTGCAATCTGCCATATAGCTAAGTCAGTGGAATTTTTTCACTCAATGTTCATCATGGTGAGGCATAGATTATGGTGTAGAACCTGAAATCAATTCATTAAAATCATTGATTTATCCTTGGCATTTTCATAGATTATTATTTTTAAAAATTTTCCAAATTCCCACCGAATTTTTTGACCACAAAAATGTATGCTTTATGATAGCAACATATATGTTTTTAAAGGTCAAGTGATTCATTTTGAACATTTGAGAAATGGGGCCTAGGCAGGGATCAGGAGACATAGGTGCTGGCATCAACTCTGCCACGATTGGAGGGGATTGCATTTTTCTCAATGAATAAGGCATGAAGACAACCCAATGTAAAACTCAAAACTAATTGATGGCAGGGTGCTTATGTTTGCCAGTTAAAAATAGCATTGCTAGCCGGGCTCGGTGACTCAGCCTGTAATCCCGAGCTTTGGGAGGCTTAGGTGAGTGAATTGCCTGAGCCCGCGGGTTCGAGACCCTCCTGGGCAACTTGGCGAGGCCTCATCTCTACAATAAAATAAAAAAATTAGCCAGGTATGGTAGCGCGCTCCTGTAGTTCCAGCTACTTGAAAGGCTGAGGCAGAAGGATCGCCGGAGCGCAGCAGGTCGAAGCTGCGGTGGCCGGAAGCGTGCCACTGCACTCCTCTCTGGGCAGAGTGAGACTCCAACTCAAAAAAAAAAAAAAAAATAGCATTGCTATATGATAATAATCTCAGGACAATTAACCGTTCACTTGGTCATCAGCTTGGAAATTTTGGCAATTTATGACAAATTTGACAGTTTTGTGGAGGATTGCAATTGTTTCAAACTTTATGAATAATTTTAACTTGCATGTATTTAAATCAAAACTACAGGAAATGGGACCACATTAGATCTGGCTTTGGGATATTTGAATACTTTCTTAGGCCTCCTCAACCTCAGTTTCATGGACACTAAAGACAAAAGTGGATTGTGATAGGTCAGGGATTTTCAAGCTCTGTTTTAAAGAGAACCAATACTCGAGAGAGAATTATCAGAGGGCTTCTGGAAGAAATGAGAAGAGACCTAGTAAATGGGGCAGAGGCCCATGACACTGTTTTAACCAGTGTGTGTATATATGCATACATATATGCATATATAGTGCATAATATAAACTTCATTTACCAATAATATAATTTAAAAATCACAGAATTCAGTCACATTTGAGGACTACTAACTTTTCTTCCTTCCATTCTCCCTCCTTCCTTTGTCTTTTCTTCTTTCCTTCTGTTTCAAAAAGTTGCATGATAGAATGAAGAAATAAAAAACTTTTCTTGTGGAATGTAATGAGTTTTACATTGAATTATACTTATGTGTGCTTTTTATCACCCTTTCTCTAATATCTTGAATCTTTCCAAAGGACCAGTCTTGCTCATTATTGTCATTCCTATCATGCCTGGAACTGTACTTGAACGTAGCGTGATGTATAATAAAATTTGTCGATCAGATTGAATTGACAAGACCCCAAGACTCTTGGCTTCTCTTTCCTTCTCCTGATCACTTGCATTTACACATATATCCTTAGGTGCCTGCAGAAACACGCTACTCTGCACTGTGTAGACTACACATTTAACCTCTGATTGGATTGAAGAGGCTAACCACCAGCAGGGGAAGAGATTCGCCCTGGGTCTACCTTTCTGAAAAGAGCTAAGTAGAAAGGGTTCTGTCCCAGAGAGACACCTGATGCAGCTTAGACACTCTCCTACACTAGAATCTGCACTCTAGGAAAGGCTGGTTGAGAGGAGGTAGCCAAAGACTAGTAAAACCTTTATCATTTTGCTGAATTAAAAACAAAGATCCTTTCATTATTTGTAGGACTTTTTCTCCCCCTGGAAATTATCTTAATGATGCAATGAAAAACAAATGCAAAATTTCTGTTAAACGGCATTTTGTTGACATCTGTGCTATTTGATTCTGGAAATCCCAGAGAACAAAATATTATTATTTCCATAGACTTGACTATACAAATGAACATTTGATTTATACAACCTACATGAGAGGTGTTATTTAAAAATGTATTATAGTGTTAATTACTATCTTCATTGGGTATTTCTACTGATTCTCAGATTTAATCTTATGTACTCCTACAAACTGCTTTTTTTCATCCAAATGCCAGCTTTTTGACCAAGGCTCAGCGTATTTAAACACATGGGTCAAACTTGAAATCAGTTGTGTAAAACTTGGGCTGACTGAAAGGTCCTGGGTCCATCTGCTCCATTTGTCTTTCCAGAATTAAGGAGAAAGAAGCATCAGGGAGGGCATAGATGACCAGCTTTGAGTAAAATTATATTTACCTGACCTGACATCTGCAGAACTTTGGTTTCTTTCTCCAAGGAAGGGTTGACCAAGATGAGACAGGGCACATGTAGACTTGCTCTTTTGGTTACTCATCATAGTTATAAATGCTGCTTAAACAGCTTTGAAATTTCAGAATGAGTTGTTTCTGTTGTACTTAGAAAATCTCTAAAAAGTTTGTTCCATTGTTAAAATCACCTACTGTTTACTGTTTTTAGGGCTTAGCCATTAATGAAGAGTTACTTTTGAATTATAAAAGAAAAAGCCTGAACATTTCTTAGCTCTGTTTTAGCTCTGAAGTACAGACTATACTTAACATCTTTTAGGCCATGGATCATAGGTATCTCATATCACTAATTATAAGACAATTTATCGAGGGCAAACTTCCACCTGTTGTGAACTAAACTCTCAAGTAATTGTCATGATAGCACTGTACAGAAACCTGGATTTCTATGAGTCATTATGGATCTTGACTTTTAAATTTTGTTGGGAAGGAAGTTTTTTCCAGATTGCGGCCAGTGATTTAATGTTATATCATTTATGTTAAACTGATACTGTTACTTAAGAAAGGAAATGCTTGACAATATTCAGTTACTCATGAACTCAAATATTCCAAACAGAACTGGAACTGAGGAGGTGATTTTGTGATTGATGCTTCTGGAAAGAATAGTGATTATATTCAATTGTAAAAGTAAAATGGTGGGAGATGCTCATAGGGAATTGTTTTTTCCCCTAAGAATTAACCTACCATATTAGAATTTTAGGCAATACCAGTATCATTAAAAGAAAACTTTTGCAGGTGTGTAGGTAGCAGTTGGGGCAAAGTATTCCAGGTCTGGGGTTTCTGCTGACAAATCATTCTATGAGGATCTTGGGAGACCCAATACATTGGCTTAGACGAAATGACCTCTGAGGCACTTTCCAGCTCCCAAGTGGCACGGTCCTATGGTTGTATTTCAACAAGTAAGAGATGCAGGTACTCACGTGGTATAATGCCTTGGTTAGCCAGTTGTTCCTGGGTCCTTCTCTGTTGAAGTCGTAACTGTAAAACTTAGAAAAGGAAGTTTTAGTTTGTGAGTTGGGCTAAATATGATTATAATCACTTATATTTTCATCAATGGTTCATAGCTCTTCTCATTTTATTTCTAAAACAATTTTGAAGATTATTGTGAAGTGCATTTTTATTTCTGTTGTAGACACAGAGAAAGACGGAAAAGAAAAGTTGCAGGGGTTGCAGAGTTTTTGCGGCAATTTCACCCCAAATTAGCATTGAATATTTGCCTTCTCTTTGAAATGTTATTTTCACAGCACCACACTCCCTGCTATATCTTTTCCATGTCGTCAAATTCTGCTTGGGTGGCAGCTTATGACATCAAAAAGGGAGACAGAGTCTCACCTAGGTTCAAATCTCATTTCCATCTTCTTAATAGGTGTGTAACTCTGAGCAAGTTGCTTAACCTTTCTGACCCTCAGTTTCCTCATTTGTAAATGAAAACAATGCCTACCTTGAGAGTTGTAATGAAGTTCGATAAAACAATGTATGCACGTTTCTTAGCAGGTGTATGGCACATATAATGACATTGGTAAATGGTATTATGAGACTCTGGAATTCTTCTGGGAATTCAAAGAAGGGCTGTTGAAGTTATGCTTTGCTCAGAAAAATTAAAACATTATAAAATTGTCCAAATTATATGCTATGTTATGAATAAATATAAATTCCATACATTATATATCCACAGGGTAAATAGATAATATATCATACACATATAATAGTAAAAATTAAATAGTATTGACTTATTAAATCATGAGAGCAGTATTTGCAATGTCCTCCTTCCTATTGCCCCTCCCTACCAAACATATTCTATTTTTGGACATTTGGCCTCCTCCTCATTGGTATTCCATTTTCCCAGGGAGACACTGAGTTTGCCATCTTGGTTCCTAATTGTAAGCTGCTCAGAATAAGGATGCAAACAGCACAATTTTGCAGAGAAAATTAGTTTTATCAACTTGCATTGAAAAGGAAAAACAATAACTGTTTTTATGAAGAGAAAGTTAGAACGAAGGGATGAGGAGCAAGAGTGAAAAGGCTATGTGGGTTGAATTTCCAGTTTATTTGGTATTTCAGAGTGAGACTTCAGAGCAAATGCAGGCATGAGATAACTGAAAGTTAGAACAATGAACAAAGACTATTTAAAAAAGTATTGCTATGGGTTTAATTGGATTCTCATCAGCCTTCTTTGGAAGAGACAAATATTGTTTGAATTGCTTTTAATTAATTTTGGTTGCTAGATGGTGCTTCACTGAATAAGCTTCAGAAGACTCCAGAGTGGCAATGGACCACAAAGAGGACTTAATTGTTTTATCTGTGGTTAAATGAAAATGATATGAGAGTTTCATTGTTTAAGCCCTACTTCAGACCAATCTTCCCACTAATAGAAACTGTAAACTCTGAATGAATTATAAAAAAGAACTATCTGAGGATTCCAAATAGTAAACAAAACCAGGCAGATTGTAGAGGGAGTTCAAACTTGGAGAAGTGTCTTACATGGGGTTGAGTTTCCCATTTTGGAGGAAGTTTTGACCTGGGCATGGCCTATAGTTTATAAAGTGGCAGATGACAGGCCTAAAACTTCAATTTAAAAAATGCTTATCTTTCTGGTCAGAGGTATCACAGAAAAGTAGTCAGACAGCCATGGCTGACAACCAGAGAGTTATGGGGAAACCATGCAGGAAAGAGAGCTGAAGAAAGAGCTGTACATGAACCTGTAAGTTTCAGGATCATACCTTAATGGTGTTTCTATGGAACATACTCACAGCAGCATAGCAAAGATTCAAAAATAAATTGAGGTCTCAACCTCTGTATACAAAGGCAAGAGAGAACCTAAAGTTTCAATCTACCTGAGTTAATCATCTGCTAAGATTTTTAAAGAAAAAGACATGTTTTCCAGAGGACTATAACAAAAACCAGAGTTTATATAACATAAGATTCATGATGTCCAGAATACAATCTAAGATTGCTCTACACACACACAAACACACACACACATACACATGCACACACACACACATTAGGGAAATGTAACTCATTCTAAATGGAAAAGAAAATAAACAGATGTCAGCCCTGAGATGAGTCAGATGTTAAAACCTGAGAAAAAACTTTAAAGTAGTTATTTTCAACTATGTTCAATGAAAAAAAAAGAAAGCATATTTGAAATAAATGAAAAGATAGAACATTACAGCAGCAAAATAGAAAGCATAAAAAGAAACCAAGTGGAAAGATTAAAACTTAGCAGAACACTATCTGAAATAAAGAATAATCGAATGGGCCTCATAGAAGAATAGCAAGGGAATGATTCAGTAAATTTGTAGATAGATCAAACTAAAGAAGAGAGAGAAAAATGGTGAAGAAAATGAACAGATCCTCAGGTACCAGTGTGACAATATCTAAAAGTCTCACATCAGGTAATTAGTCCAACAAGGAGAGTCTAAGAGGAAATAATGGCCAAAACTCTCCAAATTTGGTAAAATAAATACATTTACAGACTTCAAGAGTTCAACAAAGGCAGAAGGATTGCCAGAGCACAGCAGGTCGATGCTGGGGTGGCCGTAAGCATGGCACTGCACTCCAACCTGGGCGGGAGAGTGAGACTCCAACCCAAAAAAAAAAAAAAAAAAATTAGTTCAGCACACTTCAAATATTACATATTCACAGAAAACCACACTTAGAAAATAACAATCCAACAGCTGAAAACCAAAGATAAAGATAAAATCTTAAAAACAGGTGGGTAAAGACGACACACCGTATAAAGGAAAATGTTAGTTTAAATAACCACAGACTTCTCTTCAGAAACCATAGAAGCTAGAAGAAAAACAAACAAAAACAAACAAACAAACAAAACCCTTTCAACCCAGAAGATAAAATGTCCTCTAGGAATGAAGGTGAAATAACTATATTTTCAGGGCAAGAAAATATAAAAATAATTTCTTGCCAGCAGACTTCACTACAAGAAATGCATAAGCAAATTCATCAAGCTGAAGGAAAATGATGCCAGAAGAGAACCTGGATATACAGGAATGAATAAAAAGTACCAGAAATGGTAACTATCTGAATAAATATTAAAGGTTTCTCTTTTTCTTTTTAATTTTAAATATACATATCTTTTGAGAAAAATTATAAAATTGTCTTGTGACGCTCTTAAGGCACATAGATGCACTACAGATACCAGCTATATCATACTGAAAAGGTTCTATACTCTGCATGCAATGGTATAAAATAGACGGTGCCAAAAATGTATATACATTTCAAGAAAGGAAAGAACTGTATTAAAATTGTCATCTTCAATATAAACTGATAGTAATAGATGAGTACAAGTCACAGTTGACTTCTGCAATTACAAGAGGTACTCAGAGTGGTTACCATCAGCATCCAGACACTTCTGATTATGTGAATTAAAAGTAATACATAGGTAATATCACTTAAAATAAGTACGTGTTTTTTTGGCATCCCCGGTATTAACTATAAGTAGACGGCTCATGGTTAATGATTATATGGTAATTCCTCAAACAACTATTAAATAAAAGCATAAAGAGGTGTAACTAAGAAAACCCAAGGAGTAAAAAGTGAAATGGTAAAAAATACCAAATATTCTAAAGAAGGCAATTAAAGGGGAATAGTGGAACAAAAAGTAGAGGGACAAGCAGAAAAACAAATAATAAAATGGTACAGCTAAATCCAGCCACATCAATAGTTACATTAAATTTTGATAGTTGATGTGCTCAAACAAGAGAGATAATCAGAAAGAATTTTAAAAAGCAATATTCAATTAAATATTGTCTGCAAGAGACACACTTTATATATAAAGACTCAGATTTCTTGAAAGTAAGTAAATGGAAAAAAGATATAACAAACAGACAGTATGCATAAAAAAGCTGGACTAGCCATGTCAATATCAGATAAAACAGACTTCAGGCGAAAGAGTATTACCAGAAACAGAGAAAGGAAATTTCATAGTTATAAAAGGAAGAATTAGTCAGGAAGACAAAGTGATTATAAATGGCTATACGTATAATAATAGAACTTCAACACATATGAGGATAAGTGGAAAGGATTAAAGGAATAAATAGACAATTTCAAAATCATAGTAGGAGATTTTAAGACTCCTCTCTGAATATTTGTTAGAACTAGATTTAAATACATTCACTGATGATATAGAAGATTTGAGTAACAGTTTAATTTAAACATTCTTTTCAAGGGAAAAGGGCACATCCACCAAGGTATACCAGGCTATAAAACAAGTTTCTTTCTTTCTTTCTTTCTTTCTTTCTTTCTTTCTTTCTTTCTTTCTTTCTTTCTTTCTTTCTTTCTTTCTTTCTTTCTTTCCTTCCTTCC